TCAATAGACACATAGAGATTGACAAAATATACCAATCCATACGAAGAAATTCACACAAAAACAAAGTCAAACTTCAGGTCAAGGAAACAGTCAACACCAAAACAAGTGAACTAGAAAGTGAGAAGTCACACAAAAACAACCAATCACGTCCAAGGTTAGCAGAAGGAATGACTAACGACATTCAGACCAAAGAAGCAGCCAGCACCGAGACAAGCAAACTAGGGGATGAAATGTCACACGAAAACAACCAATCACGTTCAAGGTTACTAGAAGAGATGACTAATAAACTCATAGAGAATTCTAAAAGCTCACTTCACATCGAAGTATGCGCTGAAGATGTTGCTCAGTAGAGCAATGAAAGCTTCGCAACCAAACCATCCAGCTCAGAGAACACAACCACACCAAAATCATCCACCTGAGCTACAAATCTTCTCTATTATATCTAAATCATACGAGCGGAACACGCTTCTTTCTGTTCGAAAGTGGGAAGACTTCGCCAAACGGCAAGGATCCACCAGAGAACAACTATTTTTTCTCCATGAGTGCCTTCGTCATCAAATTCTACCAACCAGCGTGAGATATAAGCCACCAATCAACTGCCCAATGGGATGGAAGTTAGCTGAACAATGTGGAAGAAAAATGGTTAAACTAATGATTACAGATGCACATTATAGAATCAAGAAATATCAACAAATAATGGACTTTGAAAAAGAGAAACTAGAGAAAATCCTCAGCCAAGAACACCTTTCAACAACGATCACCGCAATCGCACTGACAAGTAGTAGACACAGAGAACGTAGACGAAAAGTTCTCAGAACCAAGCTAACCAAAATCAAAAAACAACAGCCGAACAATACACCAATTGATTGCGTAGTCAATTTATCAAAACAGCCGCTGTCAAAAATGGAACAACAACTACTTCAAAAAGGATTAAACTACAACACTGAAGACGCCTCGAAAACAGACTTCTTCGCTGCTCTTGAATCAACACTCAAATCATCAGAATTAAGTGAAGAAACACAAGAAGAGATACGTCAAACAATAGTGCCTATAGTTAAACAAAGAAAACGACACACACAACTCAACTCACAAGAACAAAAAGCCCTCAAAAGACTGAAAAACAGGAAAGATATCGTTATAGTGCCAGCTGACAAAGGAAGGACTACAGTAATCATGGACAAAGAAGAATACACTGCAAAAGCGGAAGAACTACTCAAAGATCAAACAATATACCAACAACTAACAACAAACCCCATCGAAACACTAAACAACCGCATCCAAAGAACCCTAAGCAAACTCACCAAAACGGGTCAGATCACAAAAGAAGATCAATGGCGAATGAAATCCAATGGACCCGTCATACCTCGATTCTACGGCAGACCAAAAATACACAAGCCAAATATACCTCTACGACCAATCGTATCACTCCCAGGAACCCCAACATACAATTTATCCAAAGAACTATACAGAAGACTGAAACACTTAACGAAATCATGTGATCACTCCATCCAATCTGCGACCCAATTTTTAGAGAAAATCAAAGGCATTGAAATAGACAGCCAAGAAATAATGGTATCCTTCGACGTCACGGCATTATATACTTCGATTGGACTAAAACTAGCAAAAGAAACCATGGAACAACTACTCAACAACGACGAACACATACAACAATCAAAAATGCAGCATTCAAGTTGGATGGAATGCATAAACTTGTGTCTCACAACTTACTTCCAATTCAACGGCCAAATGTATGAACAAATTCAAGGGACACCTATGGGATCACCCATATCAGGATTGATTGCGGAAGCCGTCATGCAAAGACTGGAAAACATAATTCTGCCAAAGATCAAACCGAAAATTTGGATACGCTACATAGATGATACATTCGTGATAATCAAAAGAGAAAACTTAGACAATACCCACAACATAATAAACAACACCTTCAACGACATCAAATTCACAAGAGAGGAAGAATATGAAAACAAAATCCCATTCTTAGACGTCTTAATCAAACGAACAACTACAGGAAAATTAGAAACCCAAGTATACAGAAAACCAACGCACACGGATCAAATACTCAATTACAACAGTAACAACCCAACATCACACAAAATTAGCTGCATACGTACATTGTTCAAGAGAGCCAGGACTCATTGCAGCACTCCCGCCTTGAGGAAAATTGAAGAAAATCATCTTATGGACGTCTTCCAAAGAAATGGATACCCACGAAACTTCATCAAAAGACATCTACCCCCAGCTCAACCAACCAAATCAAAGGCCACCAGCGAAAACACAAAGAAAGTCGTCCTACCATATATAAAAGATATCTCCGAAATCACTGCAAGACTATTCAAACCTTTTGGAATCGATGTCGCTCATAAACCAACAAAGTCACTACACTCAGTTCTATGTAAGCCAAAGGACTCAACGGCAAAAGAAGACAAAACTAACGTCATCTACAAGATAAATTGCAACGACTGCGACAAACATTACATTGGTCAAAGTGGACGCCCTCTTCGTCTTCGCATTCACGAACACAAACTAGCTGTCAAAAGACACGACATACACTCCCTCATATCACTACATGCAGACAACCACGGGCACCAATTCGACTGGGACAATGTTCAAATCTTAGACAAAGGGAACTGCAAAAATGCCAGAGAATTCCTAGAGGCCTGGTATTCAAATGAATCAGCAATCAATAGACACATAGAGATTGACAAAATATACCAATCCATACGAAGAAATTCACACAAAAACAAAGTCAAACTTCAGGTCAAGGAAACAGTCAACACCAAAACAAGTGAACTAGAAAGTGAGAAGTCACACAAAAACAACCAATCACGTCCAAGGTTAGCAGAAGGAATGACTAACGACATTCAGACCAAAGAAGCAGCCAGCACCGAGACAAGCAAACTAGGGGATGAAATGTCACACGAAAACAACCAATCACGTTCAAGGTTACTAGAAGAGATGACTAATAAACTCATAGAGAATTCTAAAAGCTCACTTCACATCGAAGTATGCGCTGAAGATGTTGCTCAGTAGAGCAATGAAAGCTTCGCAACCAAACCATCCAGCTCAGAGAACACAACCACACCAAAATGTCCGGTAATACAAATAATATATAGACATAAAATTAAAATTCTAAATACAAACTCATCTAACACAAATATACTTCAGCTTATGCATAGTGTTGTTCAATCATGTTTGCAAACAAAAGACATTTCATTCAAAAGAAGTCAGACAAGATAACATGGTGCTATATAGCATTATGTTTGTTTACGGATCTTTCCCTGGGCAACTGAATCGAACTTAGAGTAGTCAATAGCCAGTGCTTAGTTTTTGCTGGAATTACGGTTGTTAGTCATTCCTTGCGCTCCAAGCGGACTATAGTGCTTCAGCAGTACGATTTACTGAAAAACAGTCTATAAATTTTAGAATATTGAACAGTTAGAAATACTTACTTATAAGTAGTAAAGGTATGTACCGTTATTTTTATATATAGGTTTTAATTATCCTCTTTTTATAAAACATATGTAGTGTATATCCAGAATATTTTAATTTTAGTTAGGTATTCATAAGTTATAATGTAATAAGAATTTATTTATTTTAAAATACAGATAAATTTGCTCATTAGGAATGCCTTTTTTTACATCTGACAGTGGCCATTAGAATTAAACGGTGAAATCACTCGGAAACTATTAATCTAACTTAATGTAACAATATTATTACTGAAATATGGGTTAAAAGTAAACTAAAGTAGATGTGAATTCGACTGGTTACATAATAAACTGCATTTAATAACTTGATACCATTGTTAGATAACAAGTGAAATGGTATCTTAAACATCTTTATTCTTTGCTACATGTCATGCACGATAATGTTTTGTATAATAATAAATAGCAATTGAACGGAGTTATTATTTGTGTAAACTTTAAATAGAAACATGGTCTCATATTAGTTGATTTTTAGTTAGTAATGGCCAGTATGCTACATGATGCATCTAGTCACTATATACTGATTAGTGCATGGGGCTTATACGCTTGAATACTGTAGACGTAAGATGCAACTTCAGATTAGATGGAGACATAGACAGATGCATCGACTGAGCTGATCAAAACATGTGCTATACATTTTTACGCGTTGTTCTAAGTTAGTCGAAGACGTGGCATCAATCCACGAAGTTGTTAACTATTCAGTGTATGGACATGGGGGCAGGTGTTATTGATTTGTCCAAGCTACATAAGCTAACTACATGGCATTCATCGTTGCTTTAAACCGAATCATCTGATTCCATTATCGATACAGTTTTATTTTGATAAAATCCAACAGTGTTATACAGTAATATTTACTGATTAGCACGTTTCGAGCCCGATTTACTGCTCATAATCATATCAAGGTACTCACATAACTTTCTTGCATCGTTTATATACATGAGTAAAAATTGATTAGGCATATGAATGAATAAATCTTACTGACTAACAACACTCGTATTTATTTCCACCTTATTATATTTAATGATAAAACTAATATTGCTTCCGAATGTAATTTACCTTCCTTTCTGTTTCACGCAAGTTTTATATTTATTTTATTCAAATGTCTAATCAATTTTTACTCATGTATATAAACGAAGCAAGAAAGTTATGTGAGTAACTTGATATGACTATGTGCAGTAAATTGTGCCCGAGACGTGATAATCAGTAAATATTACTGTATAACACTGCGTGACTTTATCAAAATAAAATTCTATCCATAAAGGAATTATAATCTACCACAGTGCCCGATTTATATGCTTATATCAACATCATTATTTCCTTTTACTTTCAAGGAAATTGTTGCGTTGTAATTAGGCTTTAAATAATGTTTGTAACCACTGGTTACTATTTGCTCATTTCTATAACTCTTAATTTGTTTGTTTTATGAACAACTTCGCATTTTTCAGTAAATGCTTTCATTAAACTGCAAGTTTTTCTTCTTTTTTGGATTTATTTTCACAGAATGATGATACCACAGAAGCATCTGATATTGAAAGTGATGCAGACTCGGATGAATCCAGTGCATGTCAAACCTCACAGTCTAGTCGTAAACCACTGAATAATGCAGAAAAAAATGGTTCCACAAAACTGAATAAATCAAAAATCTATACAATGAATAAATATAACAATAATTCTAATAAACGAGGTGTTAATCCATTTGTCTGTCGTCGTTCTGGTTCATCGGGTATTGGAAGTCTGTTAGTTTTCCAATTTCATGCGGCTTTGTCTGACGACGGTAAAGCATTGGTTCATATGTTAACCAATTGTCTAGCTGACTTACCAAGTCGTACACAAACACCACAGTACACCCCGAATAAACAGACACCAATTCATACAGCATCATCTACACATGACTCTTTCGATGATAAAACAACCACTAATCCATCACCATCTGATTACAAAAGAAAGTGGAGAGTAAATAAATCTGTCAGTATGGACTGTGATAATAAAAACAATAACAATAGTAACATTAGTTACTTACAAAATGGTGAGAATTCCTTTTTAGATGTCTTTTTTATTAAACAAAAAAATAACTCCATGATATGGTGAAGCTGTTAAACTAGCAGATCAGTAATTCACTGAGTTGCCATTTAAAGCCTGTAGAAACTAAGATATTCTTTTAAACCTAGCTACTCTTCTTTAGTTGCCAATTTTGTTGTTATCTGTGCTCCCATTAATAAACTCTTTTTATTTCTAGTTTCACGAAACTTAACCAGAGCCTAAATTCCGTCACCAGGCTTTTCCGTCTTATCCTGGGAAATATGTATTAAATTATTCTGATGTCTCACTTTCTCCAATTTAAATGCAACTCTTTTGTTTCTCTTAAAGAATAATAGGTATTCCAGAGAGCACTGTTAGAACATCTTCCTGAAGTTGTTTATGCCTCTCAAATTTGAAGTAGGATATAGATTTTTGACAATATAACAGTTGAATTCTTTTCTAAACTGATGAATCTTCAATCCATGCGATACTTTAGTTTCATTGTAATCAATGACTTAGTGATCAATATTCGTGAACTTCAGACAAGAAATAATCCGACAGCTGGCCTAATGTGTAGGATTTGACCACTTTTATGTATTTCAGTTTTTTAAAGCTTTCTTGTCATGAGTGCCATGTTTGGTTTGTTAATTATTCTGATTGCCTGTATTAATATGAATTAAGTGAACGTCTGAATGAATTCGAAATAGTGGAAGGCGTATACTTGGTTAAGGGTTGACTTACAGTAATTGGTATCTCTACATATCCAAATTATATATACCTTCTCTTCAACGCCCCATTTGCACAGATCTTCGTGTTGTGGTACTTCTGGACATCATATTGTGTTTCTTTGTGTTCTTTTGATGTCTCCCATGTGTCTTCACAACTCCTTATCATTTGCCTTCCCTGAAATCAAATGTATCTCCACGCTATTTGATGTTTTTGTGCTGATGAATGTCTCTTCATATATATGTATATATTACTAATAAGTCTTATCAGTAGCACTCACCACAGATTGTATTATAACAAGTGACTTACTGAATATCATAGATGGCTTAATTTTATTCTCAAGTTGAACAGTATTGTGTATTGAGATTATTAACTACGACAATTATAATAAAGATATAGAAAAGATTTAAATATTGCTGACTGATTTACGCTCTGAACTTGAAACGTTTTCATTGTAAATTGTGTTATTAACTATTATTTCTATAGCGTTCTCTCAAGTTTTAATCATTTATTACTTCATGGGTACACATATCTGGTACTTGAAAGTACAACAAATAAAAACCTGGAGGACGTATTTATTTTTAGCACTTGGGGAATTCCCTAATCCACGTAACTATTTGTCACGCATCTTGAAGTATGCGCTAACAGTTGAAACGGGTGGTATTGCAATCTTGTTTTCAAAGGCCTTTTTATACATCAGACATATTCATTTGGCTTGCTGAGATAAACTACTTACAACTGTAATTCAGAATGATTTAGCGCCAATGACTTAGTTTAGTGATAATTTATTCGGAGTATAAGAATAAGAAATATTTCTTCTGAAATGGACTGACTTCCCAACTTATTCCATGCATAAAAAAGCAGCACACATCTCCTGTATGTATGGAAGACTAAATATTGGTAAAGTGACCTTTGGGTTATTTTGAAGAACAAACAAGTATAATCAAAGAGAAATGCGTTAGAAGGGGGGAACTTATCTACTGTGAATTTCGTTTGCTAGCACCTGATCTTTTGTATTGAAGTGTACTAGATACTGAAACTAAGGCAATGACAAATAGCTAGGTCTGAATTACTGTACAACATTAAACACTCACACCTGTAAGAGAATTCGATGCTCATAGAATTTCGAAGAAGATAAGTATTTAACACTTTTATAGTCGCATAACTTCATTCAGTCTGTCACTTTATCTTGACAATCTTCTTTCATTCTATGAAACGAAGTCTCCGGAAATAGAATTCCATGAATGTAAAGTTGTATTACATTTGCATTTCTGCGAATGATTCTATAAGTACTAATAATAATAGTGATTTAAGATATCCATTCCAAAATTCAGAACATTGTTAAACAAAGAATATTCCTTTTCGATAACTTCTTCATTAGATTCTACGGTTGTGTATGGAGAATGTTTAGAGAATAACCCTTATTAACATGGGTGCACTTAGAATTATCCAAGAAGGTCGAAATCTCGTAGTTTTTCAAAGAGTGATTTATGGAATCCTGACTGCTTGATATGGCATTTTCCTTACTAAGAAAAATCATCAGTTGTGTAGAGACCAATTTACTCTTATCTCTCCATATAATACGATAATTTACTTATATTTCTACCATTGTAGTATATCACGTTTTGATTATTAAAGCGTTACGTCTATACTAAATAAGTTTGAGGAATATTTGTAGAAACAGTCTTTTGGCCATTACTGCTAAAATCTGCAATAATGAGTTGGTCAATTTATTTCATTTATTTAATTGCAGATTTCGCGAAATAAGCAGCTTATAGCACAAATAGGATCTCCTCCGCATTGGAATGAAGTTAGACAACTATGATTACCAAAATTAAAATGTTATTTGACTTTATGTTTAAATGTTGCATTTCATTCGGTTCATTGTTCGGTGAACACTTTATTGATTTTAGATGATTATTATTACTACTATTGTTACAGCTATCAGTACTACTACTGCTACTACACACTTCAACTACAATGGGTAGTAATACAATCATCACTGGAATCTTTTGCCTTCTTTCTTTCTTTCTTTCCTTTCGTGAATTAAACTAATAATAAATAAGTGAATAGCTCGATTGTGCATATCTTTCTCCCTGTGTGCACATGGGTGCAACTATCATGCACAGCAATATAGTGAAGCACATATTTCTATTTTTTTCGCTTTTCTTCATGCCTCTTTTTTCAGTGAATTACACTTTCAAACTCACATATTATTATAATCTATTTCAGCAATGTCAGAAATACCGGCATATAAAATATTTCTTCCTTTCTTCTAACAGTAACGTAAAACTGTTTAGCTGTAACACATTTTGTTCGTCATTTGTATAAACAAATAAACTGAAATCTCTCTTCTACTAATTCCATTTTGGGAACAGAACAGTATGGTCAGCTATCACTCAATCAGTGACTGGGTAGGTGAGTTGCTTCCTTAAGTAGAAAACTCCCACTTGTGTGCATCCATTAGGATGAGAGTAGAACAGTTTGTAAATCGTAAAGGATAAATATGTTGTCTTATATCATGTTCGGTGGAGCTCACTTATCATGCCTTATCGTTCAGTAGCATGTGGCGGTATTAGTTTTATATCCAGAAATTTATTGAATATAAAGAACTCTACTTTGAACCGTTTTCTTCTTATTTCATTGACTCAGCTTACAGTCTACTTGATAGCTAATATAATGAGTAAATTGAATGTTTAAAAGGCGCGTGTAATGGCAGCAATCAATAAACACATTGAATTGAAACTAAAGACAGTTCTTTTGCTTATAATAATCATATTTTTATGCCTTATTTAAAAAGGAAAATTAGATACTATTATGAATGAACGGTGTTTAACATGCAAGGTTTAGTTACTAATGTAATCGAATAGTAAGTAACCAGTCATTCTTGAGCAACATTTACATAGACTGAAATCGTTCAGTAATTCTCGACTATTTCAGTTTTTGTTCTTTTAAATAAATGTGAAAATTTTCTGATTATTCTTTTTGCTGTAGTTTTGTTTTAACCATATGGAAGCAATGTCTGCGTTTTTTAATTTTCTTTTACTGTGCTAAAAATAATACTTAACACTTATCCAACTGTTTGAACTACTACCACTACTAGTTAGATTAAAAAGTAACCTACATCTTATTTCACTGACCTTTATGTAAATAAGTGAACTAAACTCTAATTTCGAAAAACTAACACTACTTAAATTATGTGAAATCGTATGCTTGTATATATACATATATATTGGAAAACCTCCGAGCATGCATATGTGCTTTCAGTTCTGCGAAAAATCCTCATATGCACAACAACTGCTTAAGGTCACATCTTTGCATTTTCGAATAAGGACTATGCTCTTTTGCAATTGAACTGACAAGCAATACCCTCACGACTGAAATTTGAATATATTTTGCTAGGTAGTTTAAATGCACAGGAACAAATGTGTCCAAATACTGGGTCACTCATAATCCTATGTCTGTTGAATGATACATTGAGGCAGGATCACACAAAAAGAGCAATCAGTATACTAGTAATGGTGTTAATTTGCGTTATTTACATTGTGTTGGTTAGTTTGGACTAAGTTGATACAAGCCAAAGTAATCATTCTCTAACTTCAAAACATTCATTATTGTTAGTGTCATTCAATGATTGAGACGTAGTATTTAGTCCGTGTTTTTAACTTTTTAAGATACAAAAAAATTAAAATTAAAAGTCAAACAAACACTATAAGACTCTTCACTTGTTCGCAGCAAAATATTGTCAGTGACTACTTCAATGTAGCTCATTGTTTCTAATGAAATGTTTTTTTTCTGTGTTGTAAAATTAACTGTTGTTAGGATAGTATCAATTAAGAATATTAAAATATTTTTCATTTTCCACTTAATAATTCTTTAAGAATTTAACCGACTAACCTAACTGGATGAAAAAGCACATATTTTTGAACGTCGTGTTAGTAAGTTTGTTAAACAATGAACTCTAATATCATGCATTGTGAAAATTTCAATATCATTTGAACTATTTGTATTGCACATAATTAGTTGTTAACTTGTGATAAGAATAAAGACACGCATAAGAAAGGTACTAGATATTCATGAAGGTTATTTTCTTTCCGGGTACTATTAGTGCATCTAGTTTATGATTTGACGTTTAGATGAAGTCATATTCTAACTTTTGTCAGTACTATACTCTCTACTTTGAAGGCGCTAATTTCTTCTTCATTGTGTTTCTGTTAGTTTGTTTTGACGCATGTTAGGTACTACAGTCAGCTTTCTTAAGAACGCATTAAAAATCTTTTTAAATAATTCTTGTTCGTAAACATGTACATACTAAAATTTCTGCCTGATTTATTTTTCACATGAATTCATCCTAGGCTTGAAGTTATCTTTTATCTTTATTTAAATTGTGCGGAACAATTTGTTTAACATATCACTTTTTAATCCGAAACGATTAAAAAATTTCTTTTTAATTTCTTTCATTTTTTGTACAAAAAAATCAGCAAAAATTCGCAAATGTTGAAGAATTAGATTATCAGGTTTTGTGAAACTGAATGAACAAATATGCAATAAAAAATGTAATGAAACATTTGGGAAGAAGTGTATATATACATATATACGACGCGGAGCGTGCTTACGCGTGCATATGTTACATTCTTTCTTAATTGACTCTGTTGTTTCTAGTATGGACAAACATTTCGTCTTTCTATGTACTTGCATGCTTGCAAAGAAGCATATTTACCCGTGCGCAAATATAAAAAGAATTCTGAGATAGACAATGACGGTTGAGGGAAAAAGGATTAAAAAAAAGAAACCAACTGGGCATAAAGAAGGTATTGCAGTTTTTAATTTGCACACTGGGTTATTTAACACCATATGTTTTCGAAGACTGACAAAATAATCTTTTTTCTTCTTCTCTTCTATTTCGCTTTAATTTTCTACCTTTGTCTACAATTTCTCCTAAATTTTCTTCTTTTATCAAGGAGAAGAGAAATAATGGGATTCAAAATCGACATTTTTCTTTCTAAGTAAATATACAATGATATGTCTGTTTTTATTAGTACGTCTTTGTATACTCTATTAATAGCATAGGAATGCTTTGATTGTGCCAGTCGGTAGTTTGTTAACAAGCCCAATATATGGTAGGCAGTTTTAGTGATTCTGAATAAGCAGTTCCATATTTTCATTTTCTTTTGATGAGAAGCAGCCTTTGCTTGGGTATTAGAAGTTATTTGATTGGTAACAATGATGGTATGTTTATCGCTTGCTGAGTGTTATTAGCAGCAGCTACCACGAAGAGACTTATTTTCACCTACAATACTCAAGTCATTCAAACCATAAATGAAGTCTTGTAAGATTCAGTGATGTATACAAATTAATTGTTCGTCTTGAACCAAATGACCAAATTTTCTTATATGATTATATATACATCAACACAAAAATGCCTCGGCAAGTCGGTAACAAGACCGGTAGAGGAGAAAGGCTGGGTATGAGGCTATCAACCCCATCCCATAAAATAAACAACACTGCTACCGAAACTTCGAAGCTTTAGGTTGAAGCCCCGTGCCCCACTGGGGACGAATAGGAAGAAGAAAGAAAAATAATGTGGTGGTGTGATGTAGACAAATTGTTCCAATAGCGTGTCTTTAGATTTTATGATGCTTCAACTACCACTTTATCAAAAGATTTTGTGTAGTATCATGGACTAGAAAGCACCTTAACATTCTATGATCAACCCACTTGGTTTTAAGGAACAAATAGATCAAATACTCTAAAGTATATTTTCAAGTAACTTCTCTTGTTGTATTCACTTTTCTGATATAGTTTTTGATAAAAATAATAAAGCAGTTGACACAGTTATACCCTATTTCATTCCTTAAATCTAATTCATTCCTCTAATATTTAGATAATATGTTTGACTAACAGTCAAAAGTTGTTTATAGCCAACAATGAACATTTAATATAATACTTTCCTGGAAATGATGTAATAGTAACCAGTAACTAATTCTGCTGACAGACTTAGTAGCCTAAAATCCTTAATTGCATAAAAGTAATCAACACTACTGTTTCAATCATATAAACTTTTTTCTCAGCCGAAAAATATTGACCGTTTATTTAAAGGGATACTTACGACTCTATAAAGTGTTCCCTGGACATCTCACTCTACTTTGATCATAATTCAACCCAAGACATTTCAATGAAGTGAATAAATTTGAAGAATTGTACCAGTTCTTTTTGTTAATCACTTATTATATGTCTAATGTTGTTTAGTTAAATTTCATCAGTATGATTTGTTACCTATTCTTTGTTACCTCTGTTTCTTTACTATAAATATCTTATGAAAACAAAGTTATACGTCACCCTGAACAATATAAAAACATAAATTGTGTGGACGATTTAAACATGCTTTTTACAACATGAGAAGGAGCATTTGATAGGAACTACAAGTAAAATAGGTCCGCAATGATGTAAGTTGTTAAATAATTAAGACTCAAAAGGATTGACAAAAGGACAGAGTCCACAAAAAGCTTCTAGGGCAGAAACAAATAATATATCCAGAACTAGGAAAACAATACAATAGATTTTTTTAAAATAGCAAAAAATAGGAGTAACGTGAGCAGTGTTCAAATGAAACAATAAAATTCTTTAAGTAGAACATGAGATAAAGGAGAATGCATAGCGTAGTCGAGATTGTATAATCTCATTTTGTGAGTTTATTCACCAAGATAGCACAAAATTCACTACTGTCTCTTTCTCTGTACATACGCTTAATTTTAACTGTTTGATGGTGTTTACCTTAGCAAAATGCAGCCAGTTAAGTTTCTTTTGCCGGTTGATTATTTCTAACGCTTTCAGATTATCCCCAATATGATCAGTGTCCAGCTGCTCTTTTTAATGCTTGTGAAAGTTTTGATTTCAGTTTCTTAGGCATGTGTTCGGAAATTCGGACAATAACGCTTCTCTCAGTTCTTCCAATATTGGGGGAAATGGCACGCAAATATAAACTGGTAGATGCAGTTGAACGTAACATGAGTTGGGCGTTTCTCCACTTTTGATTGTCTTAGACAACTGCTTGTTTGAAACACAAACAATATTGGTTGGATGTGTTCACTTAGATTATTGCTAAAGCTAAAGGTTGTGGTCTATTAAAAATTTAAGCTGTCTAAGTGGAAGTTCACTAATCAGTTAACTCATTATTTTGATGTCATCTCATTAGGTGAATATGGGGAATTGAATTTATGTTTAGCATTCAGTCTAATATACTTTTACACAACTTTTTCAACATTAATATGTATTCATATAATTATTTTAAATCTTTTTCTTTTCCTAAAAATACATGTAGCTTCATCTTCACACAGCAAAGATGATTCAAATTGGCCCAAACTATGTATTCCATCGAACAATTCTGTTTCACCAGTCAAATCTAGTCCTTTTTATTACTCTTGTGAATCTTCCAAGAGTTTGCTAGTGAAAGAACAAAAACCTCAATCAAATATATCAAATACTTTAGCCCAGAAAAATCAACTAAGTACTTCTAATTCTATTCAACAAAAGCCTAAACAAGAACAGAATGAATCAATTCCTAGTGTATCCACAAATTCTTCGAATATAAATATCACTTCATCACTGGATGATGAAGATCCTGAAGAATCAGAAGCTGCGCAATGGTGGTATACATTTTGGGCCAGTTCATTAGCTACAATAGCTACTGTCTGCGATTTACTTAGAGTAGCAATTACGGGACCAGCTATTATCTTTCATAAATATTTTTTAACTACTGCTGATATGGGTTTAATTACAAAGTGTCAAAATACAACAAGGAGTTTTAAATCAACCACAAAATCCAATGTCAATGTTCAGTCAAGTAATAATAAAAGTAATAGTATTGATCAAGAGAAAAAAATTATTCACAAATGTGCCTTACTATCACTAGCTAAATTAAGTCGTCTACGTCAGATTACTAAAGCATCGTATTCTGAATTAATTTTAAGCCTGTTAGCTGGTGCACTACGTGCTTATCATCAGGTAAACAGACATTGCTTTTTTTTTCTTCCTTCTTCTAAAATTCATTGATTATCTGAATAAATACCTTCAGGTTTTATAATACAAGTAATATCATAAGTAGTATTTTCTTCTTTTATTTAAAAAAATTTATTAAACCAATTTCTAGAAAATGAGTTTATAGTAGCAGGATGTTAAAGTTTAATCAGCGTTTAAAAAGGATGACAGTCAGTAATAATCATACACTAGAAGTGATTAGAATATGCCATTTCTATATATTTATGCGTTTACTTATAAATCTGTGTGTGTACTAAGCAAACTAAGCAAAACACGCTTTTTTATCAGGTTTACAGTGAAGAGGACAAATCATTAACTGACTGAAATATATATGGCTCGCTAATACCTAACTAATTAATCGAGTGAAGTAAAAAAAAATCTGATCTGATTATCTTTGAAGCTTTCGTATTCTTCTTCTTCTCCAATATCACAATTATGTGAAATATGAGACTTCATAATTTATAGTAAAGTGACAAAAAAAATCTACTACAAGTTGTCCCACTGTGTTATTGAAGTCATTCATTGATGGTAACTGTTCTAAAACAGAAAGTATCACATGGAACCACCAAAAAAAGTAACAGACTGTAAACTTTCATCAGTGACTGGTTTCAAGCGATACTGGAGACCTAAAGAATAAGCAAGCAATAAGAAACTATAGTATTGCAGCGAACTAGTCAATAACTTATTGCTCAAAAAATATTCAGGAAGAAATAGACATGTTTACATAAGAATAGCACTTGGAAACTGTGGTAGAGTACAATGTCATTATCCATGATCAAAATAGAGATGGATTGAACATACTCTTAGAGAATATTTAAATGAGATCATATTTTAGGCACTTCAGTGGAATCCGAATGAGAAGAGGCAAGTTGAACGTGCAAAGGTAACATGGAAAAGACCATGGGAAGAGGAGATGAAAGTTTGTGGGCAGTCGTGGAGCCAGGTAAAAGTTACTGCAGAGAATACAGTGTAATATAAATATGACACCGAAGCTCTTTGTTCTTCTCGTAGCTCATCTAAACACAGTATAAACACGAATTTATAACAGGCGTTTACTATGTTGGTTGACGTAATTCTTTCTTTCTTCTTTCGAAATAAATTAGATTTTATTGTAAAACAAAACTGTTTTGTTTTGTCGAACCGATTTTTAAATGAGAATAATTGAAAAATTCCTAAAATTCAAAAATATTTGGCATCGCCCAATTAGACTGAATTAATATTACGGTGCTTACCATAAGATTTGATTTTACACTAGAGTGTTCATTTCATTACTGACTGAAAATATATACATATATATTTTCTTTATGTCTTTGCTTTCCGAATGTAACGTGCCATTTCTTGCTTGGGCTTTGAAGTCTCGGTAGCATCGGTATTTTCTACAGGGTGGGATTACTAGCCTCACAATCAACCTTTCATTTTTACTTTGGTTAGTACTGCTGAGCTAGGCTGAAGATTGCGTTGGCCGGTAATTGAATACGAATCACACTAGTGGTTGACGAGCATTCTACACCAGAATCGCTGATGCGCAAATTATCCTGACCAAAAGTTATGATAATATTTTGCAATAATTTGGATTGTTTACGTATGACTGGAAAGTCTGCTATTCATAATTTCATTAAAGTGATAAGAGGAGCATTTAACCAATACAATATTAAATTTGCTATTTCTTTTTGTTTTCTCTTTTCTAACTTACAAAGACTATGGGATTCAAACATCCTCCTGATTTGTTAGCATTTTTATCAACGGAAGTCCCTGTGTTACCTACATGTGATTTAGGTGTTTCAGCAATATCAATTTCAAACTGTAATAACAATGCAGATCCACCTTGTACAACTTTTTCACGTGTACTGAATACAACACAAAGAGCTAGATCAAGTAATTACGGCTTTCTCAACATGTCTTATTGGCGTCAGCAACAGCAGAAACAACAACAACAACATGATGGTAATACGGTTGAAACTGGTCTATTAGGGAACACAAATCGAATGGTGGCTTTGGGTTCACCACCAACAACAATCAGGAGTTTATGTCCAGGTAGAAATGTTTTAGCAGAATTTTGTCTGCCAATAAATACAGAAGGTATGCTACCTAGGCTATGGGAAACTAAACAAAGATTGAATGAACTGAACACATCTGTCGATCCTTTGTGTTTGGCTTGGGCTCGTACTGTATTGTATACCCTGATGCCTCATTCTTTAGCTAAGTGGATTGAATCAACCTATGGTGGGCCAGCTAAAGCTAGTGTAACTGTAACTGGAGTAGAAGTAGTTTCTCCATTTACTACATCTAGTTCATCAAAAAATACAGATTCCCATTGTTCATATCAAATGCCTAAAACAAGAAGATTAGCATACATGTCTTTGCTAGCGAGCAAGTCTTCCGATGCACGTATACTACGTCAACGATTAAGAAAACGTCTTCCACGTGGGGCAGCGGTTTATCCACCACGTTTAGGAACAAGTTTTCGCGCATTAGCTCGTCATTTAGTCAATGCCAATGCTGGAATTATTTATGTAGCTGGTTGTCCTATTATTCGTATTGATACCTGGATGCCATCTCCAACCCATACGCCGTCGGAGCTAGTTCCCAATGGTCAGTTGACTACTTTGGACATTAAAACAGTGAAATCGCCTGGTGAAACTGTTGTTCATATTTGTCGTGATTTAAGTGTCACATTCACAACATATGCTGGACAGTTATCTTTGACATTTTCAGCCAGTTCAAGACATTGTATTCATCCAAATTTGGATTTAATCTTATCAGGTATAAAGTCTCAGGTAAGCATTTTTTTCAATCTGAAAGTTATACTTGCTGTTTTCATTAAACGTGTTAAATTACTTGAATTCTGTCCAGTATTTGTTTTCCGGAGGTAGCTATTGTTATTCTTGGTCTGTTGAAGCTGGAGACAGTTTCGGTTGTAAAATAATTAGTTCCCTTTATGAATTTCGACAAAGTTATGAAAATGCAATTTATCTGAATCGTGTAATGTGATCAGATTGTCCTAAATGTGTTTGCGCAAATACATTACACGATTCAGAGAAATTATGTCTTTTTATTACCTTATCTGAGTTATAAAAGGAATTACCTTTACTCACAACTATGATTTCTATTATAAATTTTCTAGCAGGCGGTGTATTGTGGGCCCTCAGTGTCTGTGTACCTAAGGTTTGATTTTTGAATACTAAAGTATAATTAACCTTACTTGTGAAACCAAATATACTGTGTTACACATAATGGAAGGACATTATGTATACATATGATGACTAGTCTGTGGTGGTTCAGGAACATCAAATACAATGGAAGATGAAATGAAAATCATATTATTTGGTGTTGCAGAACATTTTAAAACAGAATAATTAAATATAGAGAAGTAATCCACATTTAGACATTAAAAAAATAAAAGGATTGAGCGAAGAAATATTTCCTTATAAGTTGGATCCTCATCTCTAGCTCTACTCTAATATATTTACAGCATTTTAATTCAAAAAATTTTACTTATCTAACAGCGTCATTCCTGTTAACAATAATTAGTCAATATCAATATATCAGAAGGAAGTGGTAATTAACAAAGAAAGTTAATACAAATAATTAAAGGGTAAAGGTGATTACAACAAGTGGATTGCATAATGCATAATACTGGAAAAATAAGATGTAACTGAGGTATAAGTGAGTGTCCAATTTGATTACACAATAAGCAATTAAAGATGAAGCAGTCATATTTTGGAAATTGATAAGTTGTAAGAGGCGAAATTGTCGGATTTTTGCAGTCGTGTAATGGTGGCCACATTCCCAAATTTAAGCCTCAGTAGATAAGAATATTACAGTTATAATTAAAAGGTAAAAGTCAAAATTCAGAGGATATGAAAACCGATTCTGTTTAACACAAGTAACGATTGGGAGTGGCATCACAGAAAGAAAAACCAAAAAAAGTGCACTGCACCTAGGTCAAGCTAAAATTATTTAAAATGGAACAATTCTGCATGATATCATAGGAAAATATACTCAAGCGCTGCTCAGGCTTGTTTCGAACGCGCATATCTATTGTAAACTCTTAAGTCACTCGTACTTCAAATATTCTCTTTCATCTTAATTTACGAGGTGAAAATCGTAATTCCCAGCACTTATTGCTTATTATCACTCATCTAGTATGCATGGTTAACTCGAAAACAGTCGTACCAATGTTAAACAATTTCTCTGTGCGTATCTTTTCTGCTGAATAAAAAATAATGTATCAAATTGCTGACAGCAAGATGTCAGTAATTTGTAAAACACTTGTCAAATACACTAGTTATTCCATTTTACTTTCAGGTGACGTCCTAATGTTTTTTTTGTTGTTCAAGTTTACATCGCATATTTTTAACTCGGATATAATTCTTTCTTTTTTTTCCTTAAATGTCAAAATCCATTGGAATGCAAAGAATTTTATTCAAAGAATATCGCATAAATCAAAACGAACTTTCTTATTTTCACCCCTGATCCTAATCTTGTCCTTTAAAGAAAGTACCTTATTTTCTGATACTTCATTGAAATTATAATTGAATTTATAAACATTATCTGTTAACCAAAATCAGTGAATTTTTATTTTCATAAAATCTAGTCCTTGTTTCGCTCTCACGCCTACCACCACTGCCACCACCACCACCATAGTCACTAGTGTTTTATGCTAATATGTTACTTAATAACTAAGAAGGGATTGATGCATTTTAAACCAAAGTCAAGAGAAAGCAATGTATATATGTATATATACATATATGTATACATGTTGACAGAGAGTGGAATATTATGCTAGTCTATTCTACATATGCATATTATTATGATAAAGTAATTTGTTTACATTTACATTCAGTCAGTTGGTTATTTCAAAGTTGCTTGCTTGGTATTATTTTTTCTCCGTTTCACTTCCTTGGAAATACATGTTTTGCAAACATACTTTGGTATTTTTTTTTGTGTTTTTTTTTCTCATCTGTATCATGTGGTTGTTGTTCAGTGTGTCATTTTAATTCTTAACTTCCCTTATTTCTATCTCCTCCTCTTCTTCTTCTACCTCTTCTTCTCCTCTTCATTTAGCTGTCTTTTCCTCATGCATCGCATCACTCGTGTCCTATCATCTTAGTGTATACTTTCAATGCGATACAGCTTATCTAACATATTCTTTAATATTTTGAAAACGTAGGGTAGGGAAGAAAACGAAGAAACAAGGAATGGTTGGGTTAACAATAAATTTTTAAGGGAAATCCATGCCAGCAGGATAACTTGTGATTAAATTAGCAAAGAATTTCACTTAAGGCAAATTGACTAAGACAACTGACTGATGTGCAGTGAAATGTTATTTATTATGCTTTTCTTCTTGTCTTAACTTCTCTTTTCTGGAAAAATCAAACTTTTTTTCTCGACAAATAATTACTTCCTTACTGATTTTTAAGAGTTCGCAGTAGAGATTAATTTATATTAAATTCCTGTTCTTCAATATTTTACAAAGCGATTTTATTACCAAGCAGTACAATAGTATATGAATATAGTTAATTTTTACAGTGACAGAAGAATATCTCAAAGATGATTAATCAGAATTGTAAATTTTAGATAAAAAATTCTGACTAACGTTTTGCACAAAACCAATGACTTGTATGAAAGTGAAGGAAAAACCACCACTACTGGCTTCATCAACGTGAATCTCTCAGTTTAACTGCTCATGTGGAGCAAGATATGTTGGCTGTACCCAGCGTTTGCTATCCAAAAGCATCATCGAATACTTAACCTCATGATTCTATATATGAGAAAAAAGATCACCCTGCAGCTCTATCCTAGAACTAATGATCTAATCTGGACACCAGTCTAATCCACAAATCACCTTCAAAGTCATCTACAGAATAAGAGGTAATCCTGCTAAAAGAGTACGAATAAAGCTTCTACAAACCTCAGAAGGTACGGCAATTCACATGTTGAATGTTGAACTCCGCATAAAGAAGTTTGTTCAGTCAATAAGTCTACAATAGACCTAATCCATTTTAACACCAGAACGCGATTTTTGTTTTCCAATTGTATTATTTTCTTCTCTCACCCCTTATTAAAGTCCTATTTCTTATTGTAATTGCTGTTAAATTAACTCTCTTTAACTGAATTTTAGCTGAATTCTACTGAGTCCCGTCAATTGTATTAAGTCCCTCAGTTTATATATTTTATTTTGGCTTCTACTCGACTAACGCTTTTTATACTGTGTAATTTGTCATCTAAAATTTACAATTCTAATATTTTACTAAGTCTCTAGATTTTGTTGATGTTAACACCTTCAAAAAGTTGTAAGATCTGTTGTAGTCCACCGAAGTTAGCATGTTAACTATATAAATCTAAGTAATATGTATTAAGATGCAAAAAAGACAAGTGCGTAGTCAGTATATGAGGTTCATTAGCTTTGATAAAGCTAAGCTAAGGCATTAAATAGTGAAATGTCAGTAAAAACAACATCATTTTGTTTTTTATTCACTGTGAAATATAAAACTTTCTAATAATGAGGAGATTAAAGAGCTGTCGTGTGTCGATTAACTGTTAATACTTATCTCAGATAAGTGCATCTTTTAGTTTATTCAATTTATATCAGTACGAATCACTTTAAGAACAGTCTTGTAACAAATCATCGCCAGTGAGCTCACTACTAAATAACGCTAAATCAACATGTAACAGTTTTCCATTGCTCTGAGATCTCAGTAATTCTACCAGTTATTGTTGTTTCACAGTGTAACCAAATATGAAATACCATTTTAATTCAAATGTACTTTTTGAGTCGACCTATGTCCTTGAATGATATAAGCATATTTATTTAAGTGCAGGAATAGCGCGTAAACTAATTAAGCGCTTTTATTGAACTTATAAACTATACCACTATACTTCACACACTTGGAAAAAGGTCAACTGAACGGCAAACTTTTCTTGTTGATATTTATAGAATTACTATTCTTAAGCAAACACACTTTCGGATGTGATCATTAGAGATCAAACGGAAGTCTGCAATGCAATACAATTTTTTATTACTTGCATGTATTGTGTCTATTAGAAGTTTGTGTAATGCCTTAAAAACTATGTTACTAATGATTCCCTTGATTTAGGGATGAGTAATTCAAGTGAAACAACGGATACACTTAGCACGGTGTCCGTAAACTAGATCAAAAATTGTTCATAAACATTCAAAACTGCTGACATGCCAGGTTTTTCCGAATTTTTCCTCATGATTACATGTAAAAATATTAGTGATTTTCTCCGGATTCTTATGATTATAAAGTGAAACTTGTTATTTTAATGATAACCGAATAAACCTTAGAGGAAAATAAGGCAAGGACAACACTTCAATCTGTTTGTTCAATGAATTTAACCGTCACAGCTTCAACTACTTGAAAAAACAAACAGGGCGTGATAATTCAATACAATAAAAAGTAGAAATCTTAAAACAATTTATTCATTAAAAAAATTACTTTGTTCACAGTAGCCTCCGTTTCATAATATGAATATTGAAGACTTTGAAATCCTAGGTACACATATCTTCAAAAGCTACAGGCATTGTACATGTAGATGTCTGAGTGCATTCACATGTAATATAAATGTTATGTGATCCTTACGGATTTAAAACACCTGACGTTGTACATCAGATCTTGTTCATTTCAGCTCATATATATATATGTACATGTAGTTGTCTGTGCTTTTTTATATGTGTGGATATATGTCTGCATGCACGCCTACGTCAGTTTATGCGTAATGTGCTTTTAATGATCATGAATATTTGACAAAA